AGCTGGGTCTGTCCCCCCCCTGGGGAAGAGAAGCTGCCCCTTTCCCCACAGCCAGGAAGCAACCCACCCGCGGCTCTGCTGGGGTCTGGGCTGTCCTCCGTCTCGGGTGACGGAGCCGGCCAGGCCCAGCGGCTCTGAGTCCTCTCCTTCCCCACGCCGCTCCGCAGAGCCCTGGCCGTGGCCGCCGCGGCCCCGGGCAGCACAGGCTCTGCCTGGCCAGCGTCCCAGCGGAACTGCTCTCCACGCGAGCAAGCAGCCCCGGCAGCGCCGCGGGGAGGCCCCGTGTGTGCTGGCCTCTGAGGCTGGCAGGGGTCAGGAGGATCGCCGTTCCTACAGCACAGGCCTCCCACTGCCCAAGACTGGGGGCGCGGTGCGGGGGGCACTTCATCTACAGCCCGCTAGGGGCACAGACATGAGCCTTAGGCTTAACTGGACAGGGATTTAGGGGCAGGAGCCAAAGGTCTGCGAGGGTAAGGGTTCCCAGTGCGAGACCCCTGCCTGCGGTCAGAGGGTGGCTGGTGGCCGTCCCTGGGGACGGGTCAGGCAGGGCCTTTGTCCCGTGGGAGGCCCGGGTGCCTGGTGACCGCAGGGGCCGTTGAGGGCGGTGGATGCGGGTACAGGGCAGAGGCTGGAGCGGCTGCGTTCATCCTGCTGTGAGCGGGCGACGTCACCGGGCAACGGTGTCAGCCCTCTCAGCAGTGGCCACCCGAAGCCTAACCCGACACACACGCACAGAAGCCCCTGCGGAGTGAGGGAGACTCCGGCCCCCTTCGCCCGTGCTCCTCGGCCGGCAGGTGGACGCGTCTCAGGCAGACCTGGGCCCCTTGGGGGAGGTGGCGTGGACAGCGGGACGCAGCACAGGCCTGAGCTCCTCGCCCAGGGCCCCGCCCGGGCCGGCCTGGCCGCCAGCTGGGGGACCGGCTTTGTGTCGTGGGCTCCCACCTGGGACGGAGCCTCGCCCGGCTGCGCACGCTGCCGTGCGTCCCGCCCGGAGCGGCTGGGCGGTTTGGGTTGAGGAGCCCGCTGGGCACGCTTAGCAGGACACCACCGAGGGGAACCCCTTTTCCTCTCTGGACCCTCGGCATCCCTCCTCCACCCCCGCCGCGTCTGCAGCCGCTTCCAGACCCACCGCCCCAACCCCCACACGTTGTCTTTCCTGCTGGCTGCTGGCTGCACACACGCCTAGAGCTGGGCCTGCAAGGGTCAAGGGTCAGTGAGGGAGAACGGGAGGCCACTGGAGGCGACGTGACAGACACCGGTGCTGCCAGGCGGGCCGGGTCCCCCCCCCCGGACCGGGCGAGCCCCGTGGGCACGTTGCCACAAGTGTCGCAGGGCTTCCCATGAGGGCCCGGGTGCTGTCCTGCGCCAGCCCGGCCCTGGGTCCCTGCTTCCCAACGGCTCATGCAGGCAACGGGTGTCCTGACAGCCAACTGGGACCTCTGTCAGGCTCCCGGGGGCCCCGCCAGGCTGGCCCAGAGAGGGCGGACCGCAGCTCTCCTCGCACTGGCCTCCTCAGCTCCAGAGGAAGCGGGCACAGCAGGCTCCGCCCGCAGCCCTGGGCTGTGGACGAGACTCGGCTGCTGCTCAGACCTGCCAGGCTCGGGAGGAAGGCGACCCAGCCTGGACAGGGGCGGGGCCAGGAGAGGAGCCCGGCGGAGGAGGGCTGGGAGACCCGGGGAGGCGGGGAGTGGTGGAGCCAGGGCTGGGGAGGCTGGCCTCCTAGGGCCAGGGTCCCTCTCCACATGGGACTGGACGGGGCTGGGCCCCAGTGCCCGTGGAGGGCTCCCCTCCCTCCTCAGAGCAAGCCCAGGGCAGAAGGCTCTGGCTGAGCGCACAGGCCGTCCAGGCGCTGGTCGGGCTCGTGACTCGGGGCCCAGGATGTGAAGCAGTCTCTGTGCCCTGAAGGGAAGGACACAGGTGACAGACGGCGCGTCCCAGCAGTCACGCTCCAGCGAGTGGACGCCTCGGCCAGGCCCCAGGCCCCGGGCACCCGGAGCCTGGCCCACGACCCTCAAAGGCTCAGAGGTTATCATTTCTCAAAAAGTCAACTTCTTTTAAATATCTCTACAGTGAACAGGGAGATCAACTCAAGTATCAAAGCGGATCAAAATACGCCTTGAATATCGTGTGGATCAGCAGTGTGGCCGTGGAGAAGGGGGAGGCGGCCGGCGCAGAGCGCCCCTGTGGGCTCAGCTGGATGACAAGGAGCCTGAGCTTCGGTCTGTGTTAAGTCTGCAGCCCACTCGGTGGTTCAAACCCACGCGGCCCGGCTCTCTTCCCGAGCTGCTCTCGTAGGTGTGTCTGGGGGGCGTGGGACGGCCACACTGTGAACCCCCGTCCTGGAGCACTGGCCCCGCGCTGACCCCACCCCCGGCCCATGGCCCCGGCCCCAAGCAGCCTCTGTCCCTGCTCAGTCTGCACCACGCAGGGCCCCGGGGGTATTCTGCTTTCTGATTCCATCAAATCACACTCTTTCTGGAGGGGAAGGGCGTTGTTCTGCCTTACGGTTGATTTCCCTTGGGTTTTATTATATTTTTACTTTTCTCTTGGTAACATATCTAACGAATGGCTTATTCGTTTCCAGACCCGTGTGTTTGTTTTAAATCTGTGCGTTTGCTCATCAAGCCACCGCTTCAGTTGACAGTGAAGGCTTGTGCCGGTTCTTACTACCCTCCCACTCCAAGGGCGCTCAGAGAGCCCCTTCTCCTCTTCAGCGGATGAACTGGTTGTTTTGGGGGAAAGGTCTAGGGTGGAGGTGCCAGGGTCTTGATTTCTTTCCTTTTTTTTTTTTTTTTTTTAAATCTTTTTCTTTTTGTTGGTCACAGGGTTTGAACTCAGGGCCTGGCCACTGTGCTGCTCAAGGCTAGCACTCTAGTGCTTTGAGCCACAGCTCTACTTCCGGTTTTCTGGTGGTTAGTTGGAGATAAGAGTCTCAGGAGGACTGGGAATGTGGTTTAGTGGTAGAGTGCTTGTCTAGCATGCATGAATGAAGCCCTGGGTTCGATTCCTCAGTACCACATATACAGCAAAAAACAAAAACAAAAAGAGTCTCAGGAACTTTCCTGCTCAGGCTGGTTTCTGATCCTCAGATCTCAGCCTCCTGAGATCTAGGATTGCAGGTGCGATCCTTGGATCTCAGCCTCCTGAGTAGCTGGGACTACAGGTGTGAGCCATCGTTGCCTGGCTTGTGGCCCTGATTTTCTGCAGACGGGGTGGGCACCCTGACCCATCTCACTCAGGTGTCGGCGTCTGTCTTCAGGCGTTTGAACTGGATGAGGGTGCCCGGCCATCACCTCCCCCCAGAGGCCGCAGAGGTCTTCCTGTGTCCCCAACATGGGAACCGGCTGACAGCTGTGGGATTTCTCCCGAGTTTGGTAATTGTGTTTTTATAAGGAGTCTGCAAAAAGACACTCAGGTTAAATCTTGGAATCAGGAAGCGGAGCAGAGCCGGTGCAGAGGCTACGGGAACGGAGAGAGAATGGAGCCTCGCCAATGCCTGCCGTAGACACAGAACGACCCCACCAGGCGGAGGCCTGAGAGCGAAGGATCACGGCTTGAGGCCACCCCCGGCAGAAAAGTTCACAAGACTCTACCTTGAAAATAACCAGAAAAACAAACAGCAACAAAAAAGCGGGACTGGCGTCCCACAAATTGTGAGGCCCTGCCTCAGTGCAAACCCTAATACCTCAAACTCCCCCACAAAAACGTTAGGTGGCAAGAAAAATGAATTATACATTCAAATACCTACCAAGGAAGTGGGGAAGAAAGGGGAGGGGGAGCGGCCCCGCGTGCATATTGGGTTAGGAAAAAGTGACACTGAGCATTCTTGATGCAGGTGTGAGGTTGAGCTTCCTAGTAGTAAATGTGAAAGTGAACTAGTTCACACATCTTAGAGCTAAAAAGCAGAGGAACAAAGTTGTAAGACTAATGTCAGTACCATCAGCATTCACACATAGACCAGAAGCATGCAAGTAGAACCTGAAATTTAAAAATCTTAACACTTACAACAGCACCTCCTAAAAAAAGAACTTAGGTATAAACCTAACAAATTATATTCATGAAATTCTAATTAAAGAAAATCTACAAAGTTTTTGGACGAAAGTTTTAGGAGATTTAATATACCTGACTATGACTTGTTTTATGACTCAAGAAGGTGGGCAGTTTTGAATCTGGTGACCTTAATCCTAACTGTACTGCAGGTAAATTAAAAGTGCTCAGGCCTGTAATCCTGGCTACTCAGGAAGCTGAGATCTGAGGATCCTGGCTCAAAGCCAGCCTGCACAGGAAAGTCCATGAGAGTCCTATCTCCAATTACTGCCCCCCCCCCCAAAAAAAGCCGTAAGTGAAGTGTAGCTTAAGTGGTAGAGTACTAGCCTTGAACAAAAAAGCTCAGACAGCTGGGTGCCGGTGCTCACACCTATAATCCTAGCTACTCAGCAGGCTGAGATCTGAGGATCATGGTTCAAAGACAGCCCAGGCAGGAAAAGTCTGTGAGATTCTTATCCCCAATAAACCACTAGAAAGCTGGAAGTGGTGCTGTGGCTCAAGTGGTAGAGCGCTAGCCTTGAGCTGAAGAGCTGAGGGACAGCGCCCAGGCCCAGAGTTCAAGCCCAGGACTGCCACATGCACACAACGTTTGGGACATTTGAAATTACCTTTTTGGTGAACTCTGTGTCATGATGTCATATATTTTATCGCAGTGTTCACAGTCAGCTTAGGAACATTGGCAGCGCTGAGGTGGTCAGAATGTGAAGCTGGTGGGAGACGTCAGAGTGGCGGCTGGTCCTCAGGAGCGGATCTCAGATGCTGCTGCTGCTCGGTCCCTTGGGGCCCTCCTGTGTTCCTCCCATCCCAGAGCCCCGCCCCGACCACCCAGCCCCCCTTCCTGAGGAAGTCCTCAGGACCCATCCAGCCCCCTCTGTGGCACTGCCCCCTCCATGGCCAGTGGCCTCCTAGGACCCAGACCAGAGCCTGGCAAACGCCAGGGACAGTGGGTCTCCGGTTCGGAGAGAGGAGCCCGGTGAGGTGATTCCCCCAGCAGGAGGGGGCGGGCCTGTGGGGCCACCCAGTCTCTGAGCAGTGTGGGGGGGACAGCGAGGACCCCCTCCGTGGGCACTCCCTTGCCCGGGCACCTTGGGCGGAGGGGGCCAGTGTGGAGGGAAGAGTGGGTGAGGGTCGGACCGCAGCTGTGGTGTCTCCCGTTCTTCCGGCTTCGCCAGGCCCCGGCGGCCTCCCGCTCAGCGCCCCCTGGAGAGAACCCAGGGCATCCTGGCAGGAATAGAGGTGGACAGCAGCTGGAGAGGGCAGGAGATGCCAGTGGGCAGAGGCACAGGCTGAGGGTCTTTACCACAGGGTTCCGGCGACACTCAGGGCCACTGGCAGCGGGAGCCCCCCGGGCAGGGCTCCGAGTCCCAGCGCCGCGTTGCAGAGTGGCCAGGAGCAGCACCGCCTGCTGATCCTGCCCTGCAGGCGGGAGGCCACGTTCCACTGGAACACACTGTTGGAGTTGGGGCACTGCAGAGCGCAGCGCTTGCTTAGGAGAACTCGGATCCTTGATCCTGCGGAAGTCAGGAGACAGCGGCTGGCCCCCAGTCCCCAGCAAGAGGGCACGGGCACCAGGGCCTTTCTTGGATCATTCCCAGGGAAACGGGAAGTCGAGGACAGCCCGAATTTCACGAATGGATCTCTTAAGTCAATCATGCCACAACCAGGCCCTGGGACATGGGGCCTCGGGGAGGAGGCTGTGTGCTGGGCTGGCCTGGCCCAGGGGCGGGCGTGGCCCAGGGAGCCAGCCGGTCCAGCAATCACCAGCCGCCACGTGTTCCCACAGGTCACCTGGGCACAGGGACAGCTTGTGCTGTTCCCGTGGGGGTAGCTGCCTTCCTAGTGCTCCATGTCCTCCCCTCTGCCCCCCCTCGGGGTTCTGAACCAAGCAGGGACCTGAGCCTGGGCGGTCAGGCGGTGGACTCACGGGAGAAGATGGTCACCTCGTTGGAGACGCAGACCTGCTGGCCCTCCTGGCACTTGGTGGGGTGGCACTGGTTCTTGCTTTGGGCTTTGAAGCACTGGAAGCAGCTCAGGTTACTGGCGTGGGAGGTGCTGCGGGGCACCGGGTGGACAACCTGCGGGACCAGAGGGCCGGGGGCCCCTGTGCACCCCTTGCCTGGTGCCTCTGCAGAGCCCACCAGCTCTGCGGACACCAGGGACACCCAGATCACCAGCACCAGCCCCTCCATGGTGTGGGCTGGCCCAGGCCGGCCACCAGGCTGCCCGCTCTTGCCCCGCCCACGGCCCTCACCACACCCTCGGGGAGAGGCTCGGGGAAGGGCTGGTCCCCAGGGCTGCCTGGGCAGGCCTCCTCCTGGTACCTGCTGTGCCATAGGTCCAAGCAGCAGGGCATGGCTCCCAGTCCAACTTCAGATCCTGACTCAGGGCCCAGGACATGCAGGATGCCCCTAGGACAGCCCTGAACACCCCAGGACAGCCCAGGATACCCCAGGACAGCCCAGGCCAGGCCAAGACAGCCCAGGATAACTCAGCACGACTCCAGGATGCCCCCAGGACAGCCAGGACAGCCCCAAGACAGCCCAGGACAGGACAGCCCAGGACAGCCCCAAGACAGCCCAGGACAACTCAGCACGACTCCAGGATGCCCCCAGGACAGCCCAGAACACCGCCGGGACAGCAGAGGCTGCCCTGGACCCAGAACACGCTCAGGACGGTCCTGGACAGGGCGGGGCCTGCAGGATGTGACCAGACCAATTGGGCCGGACTGGGGAAACGCTGGGTGGGGGCGGAGCCTGCGGGGTGGGCGGGCACCGGGGCGGGGCCTCTGGGTGGGCGGGGCCTACAGGGGCGGGTGGGCACGTGGGGTCTTCGGGGCGGGGCCTACGAGGCGGGCGGTGCCGGAGGCGGGGTCTGCGGGTGGGCGGGGCCCGGAGGACCGGGGCGCGCCGGGGCACCGGGCTAGGGACGCGGTGGTCTGGAGGCCGCTTCTCTCCCGAGGGCGACCCGGGAGGGGAGGCGCGGAGACGCGGGGACTCCCCGCGCCAGTACCGCCCGGCCGACCCCGGAGGACCTCCCCTCCTCCCCTAGCCGGCCTCCCCGGCGGCCGCCCCGCCCCGCCCCGCCGGCGGGGGTCGCTCGCTCTCGGTCGTTTTTGGCGCCGGCCCGGGGCCGGGCACTGCCCGGGTTTCTCTGCTCACGACGAGCGCTTCCGCTTCCGCTTCCGCCGCAGCTGCGCTTCCAGCTTTAACCGATGAATGACCGGTGGGAGCCAGGGCTTCCGGCCCGGGCCGGCGTGGAGCCGCGATCCTCCGGATCTCAGCCTCCCGGCAGCCGGGGTGGCCGCGTGGGCCCGGCGCGCCCCGCCCTCCCGCAAGGCCGGCGTGGAGCCGCGATCCTCCGGATCTCAGCCTCCCGGCAGCCGGGGTGGCCGCGTGGGCCCGGCGCGCCCCGCCCTCCCGCAAGGCCGGCGTGGAGCCGCGATCCTCCGGATCTCAGCCTCCCGAGCCCGAGGATGACGGCGGGAGCCGCCGGTGCCGAGGGACGCAGTCCGAAGAGACTGAGGCGGAACAGTCCCGTGTGTGCCTTGGGCTGAGCGCTGAGTTCCCGGAGCCCTCCCGCCTCGCCTGCCGCAGGCGGGGCCTTCCCAGGCTCCTCGCAGATGCGGGGTGGGGTGCGCCCCCAGGACTAGGGGCGTCGCTCCTGCTACTGCGCAGTGAAGGGCTGGAGTCTAAGGGACGGCGGGAGAGGGGAGAGGGGGGGGGGAGATCGGGGAGAGGGGAGAGGCGGGGAGGGGGGGAAAGGGGGGCAGAGGGGGGGAGAGAGGCGGGGAGGGGGGAGAGGCGGGGAGAGGGGGGAGATCGGGGAGAGGGGAGAGGCGGGGAGGGGGGAGAGGGGGAGAGGCGGGGAGGGGGGAGAGGGGGAGAGGAGGGGAGGGGGGGAGAGGAGGGGAGGGGAGGGGGAGAGGCGGGGAGGGGGGGGAAAAGCGGGGAGGGGAGGGGGGAGAGGCGGGGAGGGGGGAGAGGCGAGGGGGGGAGAGGCGGGGAGAGGGGGGAGAGGCGGGGAGAGGGGCCGGCTGCCCCTCGCGATGCGACTCGCCCAAATAAAGAAGAGGGCGGCCCGGCTCTTCCTTCTCAGGCTGGCGTTCGCGCTCTCCATTTCCGAGTTCCCCTTCCACATTTCCATGCCTCATCATCTGCCGTGCCTCAGTTTCCCCTCAGATGCACCCAGGAGCTGCCTCTCACCAGGGCTTTGTTTTGGGAGGTCCTGGGGTCGGAACTCAGGTTCCACCAGGCAGCCACATTGTTCAGATGGGGTCTGGACGGCGTGTCCTAGCCAGTCCGGACTGCGATCCTCCTGTCCAAACATCCTGAGATGACCAGCATCTTCCACCAGACCCCGATGCTGGCTGAGAGGAGGCATTGCGAACTTCTGGCCCAGGCTGGCCTGGAACCTTGGTCCTCCTGATAGTAACGGGTGTGTGAGACCCTGCCTGGCTTCTCTAGGCTTTGTGCTGCTGTCTCCTGTGGTATCGGGTGAATTTTACATCCAGGTCTGAGATATATCTAAGCTACTTTGGTGATGAGCAGAAGCCTGGGCCTAGACTTGTTCTGGTTTGGTTCCTGTGGTTTCCGGCTTCAGGATTTTGTTGTGGTTTCCCTAGAAGGCAGCATTTGGTACTGAGGAAGGAAGACTGGCTGTTCTCAGCCAGGAGTTCCCTCAGCCCTCAGCCTCTGGTGTCACCTGCTTTACCCTCAGCCTCCTGCTGAGACGGTCCTGCTGGGAGTCCAGGCTCCTGGAGCCCCCCCCCCCCATGCCTCCACCGCCCAGCAATGGCTTCCGCCTGCCCGCGGCTCCCAGCCTGCTTTCCCACCACCTTCTTCCTCGGATGAGTCTCAGAACGTGCAGTAATAGCAAAGGTTATCATCCATAGTAAAGTTCACATAGAAAGGCGCACTCCCAGGTGAAAGTGGCGGGGGGGCTGGGGGTGGCAGCTGAGGCCCTCCCCAGGCCTGGGCTGTGCTGGACATTACAGGGGTGGGGAGCAGGCAAGCCCCTCCCCAGGCCGGTCCACGGGCAGTGAGTGACACGGACAGTCAGCGGGTGTGGAGGAGCCTGTGGGGCCCCTCGACCTGCCCCACGGGTGGGAATTTAAAATCCAGTGAGATTAAGGTAATGATGGAAACAACACAACCTTAACCGAATCGGACTGGAGTTTAGACAGGGTTGCACTCCAGAGCCAGGCTGCTCTGGGAGCTGGGGGTCACGAGGAGTATTTTGCAACCAGGATGAGGCATTCAGGCTGCAGCTGCATGTGGAGAGGTTTAGCCTGGGGCGCAGGAGCCAGGAGGTGAGGGGCTTCTTAGCCCCCGGGAAGCCGCGCCCAGCCAGCCCAGCCTTCTCCATTCTGGACCTCTCTGCCCAGCCAGCGCTGCCCTGAGCAGTGCATCACAGTGCCTCAGTGGGTTTGTGTGTCCAAGTGGACAGACCAGGTCCCTAAGTGCGCTGTGCAAACTCGCGGTTAGAGGAGAGCAGCCTCCCGTGCAGCCACCTAACGCCACTGACCGCTGAGCCCACAGACTGCTGAGCGGGGCTGGGAGGGAGGGAGACAGGGAGGGAGGCAGAGGGGGAGGCAGGGGGGGAGGGCTCAGAGAGGAGGCCTGAGATATTACCCTGCATCAACCAGCATTTGCTAGGCGGTGTGCAAGCTCTTGCTTTGTTAATGCATTAAGTTTCATTTGTTGTAATTTGACGCTTCAATTTTAACTTTTTACCTCTTTGCGGTTTTGGTGCTGGACTGTGAACTCAGGGCCCTCCTGCGAGGTGAGCGTCTGCCCTGTCGGCCTGCCGCTTTAGTTTTCTTCAGGTTTTGCCAGGGCTGTCCTCTGACAGCCCTCCTGCCTGTGGCCACTCCCCAGCTGGGTCCCGGCCAGACCCCACTCAGCTTGGGCTGGGCTGGGCTCTCACTGACTTCTGCCCTGCTCATCTCCAGCAATATCCTCCCAACCCCTGCCCTCTCAGTAGCTGACTGTGAGTCTTTTTAAATAACACTTAGCTCACAGCACAAACAAAATATATGTAAGGCACCACACACACACACACACACACACTCTTTTAAGATGGCTCTGGGGTTTGAACTTAGGGCCTCAGGATTGCTAGACAAATGCTCTACCTCTTGAGTCACACCCAAGCCCTTTTTGGTTTAGTTTGTTTTCAGATGTGGTTTCATACATTGGCCTATCTGGCCCAGTCTTCCTATCTCTACAATCCTCCTATCACGGACCCTGCAGTAACTGGGATTATAGATATGCACTACCATGCCCCGTCCAACATATGTGTATATATATCATGTGTAAATATCAACCATATATATACATACACACATACGTATGTTTTATTTTTGCTGAGCTTGGAATGTAGTTCAGTGGTAGTGTTCCTGAGTTTGCTCTCCAGCATGGTTTAAAAAGGACAGAAATAGGAAAAAAAGACAAGACAAAACATCAAAAACCCTTCATATCCTTATTCTAGAAGGCTCTTCCTATTTTTTTTTTTGTTGTTGTTGGTGGTGGTGGTAGGGCTTGAACTCTGGGCCTGGGTGCTGTCCTCAGCTCTTCAGCTCCAGGTGAGCGCTCTTTGAGCCACAGCACAACTTCTGGTTTTCTGGTGGTTTGTTGGAGATAGGAGTCTCACAGACTTTCCTGCCCAGGCTGGCTTTGAACCTCGACCCTCAGATCTCAGCCTCCTGAGTCGCTAGGATGACAGGCGTGAGCCACCCGCGCCCCGCAAGACTTTTTAACTGTTTTTTGGTCCGGGCTTTTGTGGGGCTTGAACTCTGGGCCTGGACACTGTTCAGCTCTTCCGCTCATGGCGAGTGCTCTACCACTGGAGCAATGACACCACTTCAGTTAAAACTTAAAACACAGCACACAGAGCCTGAGCCGCCGCGGGCCGCGTCCGCAGGCCCACCTCGCTCCCCAGCGACGCCCTGTGCCTCAGCCTGGGTGACTCGCGGCCAGCTCAGCACCTGCCTGAGGCTGCTGTACTCTTCTCTTTTCCTTTTTCCCTGGTCCTGAGGCTTGAACTCAGGCAGGGTGCTGTCCCTGAGATTTTTTTTTGCTTAAGGCTAGTACTCTACCATGTGAACCACAGCTCTACTTCCAAGTTTTTAATGGTTCCTTGGAGATAAGAGTCTCAAGACTTTCCTGTCTATGTTGGCTTTGAACTGCGATCCTCACATCTCAGCCTCCCGAGTAGCTAGGATGACAGGTGTGAGCCACTGGCATCTGGCTCAGTTACTGCTTAATAAATATCAGGAGTGCAACTCTGGAGTAAGATAAAAGTGCATCTGGTGCGGACATAAACCAGCAGCACTGTCGAGTGCTGTCGCTGGACCGGGAGCCGCTTTCTTAAGCGGTGGGCAGCGTGGCTGACTTGTGCATCCCAGCATCACGGTGATGGATGCGTGGTGCTGTGACCTTAGGAGCACAATGACTCAGTGGGTGTCTGTCAGGATGTCCCAGCTCCTAGGCCTCGAGGGAGCAGCTAGGGGTCCGCCCTCAGCCCTCGGCCCTCCGCCATGGCTCTGGTGCGGGCAGTGACCCCTGTAACATCACAGGTGGTTTCTGTTGACAGGCCAGGGGTGGGCCAGGTGCTGGCGATTCTTCCTGAGTGCCTTCCCCATTCTTGTCTTTCGTCTCTAGCAGGCTAACCAGGGGGCTGACGGGCTCTCCTCTCACTCCACTCTGGACTTGGCTGAGCCTCTTGTGTCGGAGACTTGAGGGTCCCTACAGACTTCAGCACAACCTGCCTCGCCATGGTTTTCTCCCAGGTGAGACAAATACGCAGCCTGGGCAGCAAAACGTGAAGTAGACGCCACCAAGAGGAAATTCAGGAGCGTCAGCAAAGGGGTGACACTGTTCAAAAACAAATGTGTTCTTTACCTGAGATGTAATGGCAACCCTCTGTACACCACCTTTATAATAACAATAAAAATTAAAAAATTAAAAAATTTCAGGAGGCAATGAGCACATGGAAAGATGCTCAGGATCACCAATCATCAGAAAACACCGTTACCCCGAGGAGACAGCTGCCGCCATCAAAGTCTGCTTGATGCTCACCTTGAGCTGAAGAGCACAGGGACAGCGCCCACGCCCAGAGTTCAAGCCCCACGAACGGCAAAAAAAAACAACACCCCCAAACAAGAAACAAAGTCTGCTGGAAGTGTAGTAACTGACCGCAGTGCTGAGGGGCGTGGAGATGCAGCCAGTCGGACAAGTTTGCGGACAAAGACTCAGACAGAGGCAAAAAAGAGCTCCTTCTTCAGCATGAATTTTAGTGTATACAGAAGGAATATATGTGGAGGCAGGTGCTGATGCTCAGTAGCTGTAATCCCAGCTACTCAGGAGGCTGAGATCTGAGGATTAAGGTTCAAAGCCAGGACAGGAAATTCTCTGGCATTCTTATCTCCAATTAGCCAGCAAAAAGCCGAAAGTGGTGTGGCTCCAGTGGTAGAGCAAAAACGCCTAAGCAAGAGCAGGAGGCCCTTGGTTCAAGTCCCAGGACTGGAATGTGTGTGACACATGCCGGAGTGTGCACACACACCAAACAAACCAACAAATAGAAAAAGAAGGATCTCGGGGCGCGAGACGCAGCCGAGTGGCGGCGTCCCACCGGAGGCAGTGGTGTTTGTGAACATGTGTGGGCATGTCCCACCGTGTGGTGTGATCCCCAGGTGTGACCATGGCGATCTGACCCAGGACCCTCATGTTTGGTGACGTAGGATGTGGACAATCAGAGCCAGGCACCTAGAAGGGTCCTGAAATAAACTGCTTGAAGAAACTGGGTGCCAGGAATCTCAGATGGGGAGCTGTGGATTTCTAGTACCTTCCTGTGCCCTGTCCCCTCCTGCCACCCACCAGAGCGTTCCTGGGTGCCAGCACCGGGGCAGGCCCTCCAGCCCTCTCTGTCCTCTGACCTGCCCCTGAGGGCCAGCGGTGCCCAGCTGCTCAGCCTGCCTCTCCCAAAGGGGCGGAAGTCTCCACGGCAGACACTGTGGGCCCAGGAGAAAGGGACCCTAGCCTCTCGCCCCAGGGGCCAGCTGCCTGGAGGAGGTGTTGGGAGCGGCTGGGCGGGGCCGTGGGGCTGTGGGTGGGGCCTGGGCGGGGCCAGGGCTCGCTCTAGGCCCAGCTCCTGCTCCTCTGCTCCATCCTCACTTGCCGCTGCTGGCCAGCCGGAGGACCTGAGGACAGGTGGGGCAGCCGGGCCGGCCGGGGGCTCTGCTGCGTGGGGTGGGGACGGGATGGGGGCTCGGGAAGGCGCTCCTCCTCTGGGGAGCTGGCAGGGCCTGGGCTGGCCCTGGAGGGGACGTCGGCTCACGCCCAGGCCCAGCTTTGTCTGTGCACCCCTCAGCCTCTGTGAGCAGTTCCCCCGCCATGGCACCCTTTGTGATCATCCTGCTGGCTGCCCTACTGTGTGCAGAGAGAGGTGAGCTGGGGAGGAAACCCGGCCAGAGAGCCCCTGGGGTCAGCTGAGGGCCGGGCAGGGGAGGAGGCAGAAGCCTCTGGCCAGCAGCCCCACCGCCCCTCCCTCGGTCACCCAGGCAAGCGCTGACCCCCTCTCCTGGGCTGGGTGGTGGACAGGGCAGGACCCAGCCAGAGTGTCTGGATGGCCTGGCCCCTGCCCAGGCCCCGGGTGGAGGTGACCGGCAGGAGGGCCTCTGGCCTGTCCTTCTGGCCTCCCAGGCTGGTGGGAATGGGGTCGTGTGCAGGGAGGGCCTGGGGGGGCCCTGCCTCACGGCCTCGGCCTCTCCCAGCTCAGAGTCTGCAGTGTTACCAGTGTGTGGGTGCCACCCAGGACAGCACGTGCAAGCAGTCCACCTGCCCCTTCCCCAAGGGGGTCTGTGTCACCCAGGAAGTGGGGACGGCTATGGGTGAGTCCCGGGTTGTGCTGGGAGGTAGGGCAGGGTGCGTCTGGGGTCACCTGGAGGAATGGCTACTCTGCGGGGCAAGTCCCTCCTTCCCAGTTCTCTGGAGTCTAGGGGCTTCTGGGGTCCCTGCCCCTCACCCTGCCATCGGGGTCCAGTCCCCCACAGCCCCCCCCCCTCGCCAGGCTGGGGCGGGCGGGCTTGGGAAGAGCTGGAGCAGGCTGCCCGCGGTCCTGTGCCCTGGCTGGCCTCCTTGGCCCTCGCGGCCCTGTCTGCGGCTTGGCCAGGCTCTGTCTCTCCCCGTGGGCATGGGTGCCGAGACTCTCAGCCCTGGGATGCCAGGCTGTGCCTGCCTTGGGTCCTGGGGCCACACCTCCTCCCTTTCTTTTACAGGGTCTAGGAAAGTGAAGAACAAGTTCTGCCTCCCTACTTGTCCGAAGGGGAGGAACATGTCCATCAAGAATATACCACTCATAGGCAAAATGATCCACTCAAAGACATCTTGTTGCAGCGAGGATCTGTGCAACTTGGGGGTTCCAGTGCAGGTCAGCACCTGGATGCTGGCAGGGGGGCTCCTGCTGGGCCTGGGGGTGGTGCTCCTCGGCTTCCGGCTGTGATGACCCTTCCTCCTCTCCCTCACAGCCCTCTTCTTTCCCAGTGGGTTGCCCGCCTTACAAGGAATTCTGCAGTGATGGGCGGCCCCAAGGCTGAGTGTTAAGTATCAATTAGCCTTGAGGGATGGGGTGAAGCAAAGGAGACCAAAGATGGAGCCGTCACAAGGTCTCTGAGAGAGAACACTGCAGGGAGATGTCTTCAGAGCCCGTCAGGCGGGGAATGGCACAAGATGAGTTATGTTTATTTTTCTATTTGTGCCAGTACTAGGGCTTGAATCCAGGGTCTGGGAGCTAGCTGTCACTCAAGGTTGGCTCTCTACTACTTGAACCACAGCTCCATTTCCTGCTTTTTGGTGGACTTTCCTGCCTGGGCTGGCTTTGAACTGTGATTGTCAGATCAGCAGGACTCAGTGTCCTGAGTAGCTGGGATTACGGGAGTGCTCGGCACTCAATGTACCTAATTTATGTAACTTATGCAACCCCTCTGTACAGCACCTTTATAAGAAGAATAAAAATAAAAATATATAAAATGAAATCTTGTTTATTGAAGCATGAATTTTGTTGTTGTTATTGTTGTGGTTGGCGGTGGTGTTTGGTTTTGGGGGGAGGACAGAAGGGGAGGATAAATAAATCCGGTTATAGTGCTCTGCAGACACTGTGTGGAAAACAGCCTGTGTGACCTGTGTGGGAGGGTGTGGGGGGGAGCTGGGGGGAAAGAGGAAGAACTGATGTTGTCCAAATTGGAAGAAATGCACTCACTGCTGGCTTACAGCACCTTCCTAATAACAATAAAATTATATTTCAAAAATAGCTCCTGGAATAACAGATCTTTAACCTACCTACCTAGGCAGGTAAAACAAGCAGTAGGACTCTAGTGTAATTCCCTAAGCCTCCCATATCCTGGAGTGAGTGCTGTCCTGAGGGCTGGGGGGGGGGGCTCAGCACCCCTAGCCCTCAGTAGGGGAGCCCGGGTGCCACCTCTGCCATACCCTCCCCCGGAGGTCTAACCAACTTTCCACTACACTCTGTGTCTTGCAGAGTTCTTTCCCCTCCCGTGCCAGCCGCCGCTCTGGTACTCAGTGGAGAAGGGGTGGCATGCTCCCCACTAGGCCAGTTTCCTGGGAGGCCCGGCCTCTGCAGAGGTGGGGGCCATTCTTGGCTTCGCTGGAGTCCAAAGCTCCATCCAATGCCACCACTGTCCCACGCAGAGGGCCCAGCATTCCGAGGCCCTGCGGGCCTCCTGCACGGGCCAGGCCACCCTCCCTCCGAGGCCGATAAAGCCTCTGCTCACGCAGCACTGGGACCTGGCTTTTCTTTTGCTGGGCTGGACCCTGTCCAGTCACCCAGTCCCAAGGACTCAGCAACATTTTGCCAGTACTCTGGCCATCCTCTCCCAAGTATGCCTGGGGTGACCTGCCCGGGCCCTGGCGTCCGCGCGGGGCCTTGTTTCGCTGCTGCAGAGGCCCCATCCCAGAATAAGGCTGCGGTCCACCCCCACCGGCCATCCCACCCCTCCCTCTGCTCAGGGGTGTCCCCACAGCCGGGAGGGAGCGCGTCCCCTCGATGTAGGAGCCAGGGCCTCCCTCAGGACTGATGCTTGGGGCAAATAGTGGGTCCCCCCAAATCTTCCTTGAGCACCTGCAGTGCAGGGGAGATGAGCCGGGGGAGCCAAAATGGGAGGGGTCAACCTGGGGGTCCCATGGGAGCGGGGCTGCCCTTGCGGAAACCTAAGCACTGGTCACCAGCAGGGCCAGGGCCAGGCTCAGATGCACGTGCATCCTGTGTCCTGGGTCCTGGTCCTGTGCTGGCTTCCCATGCTGGCCAGTGTGCCCAGAGGCCACCATCCTGAAGCCTTTAGTGTATGTCCCAAATGTTAGTTAAAAATAACTTTATCTGAGATTCTCGTTTAACGGCGTATAGTGTTGTGAGGTGTGAAACCCCATAAGTGAATGAGGGGCTAACTGCCTACCCTCTTCCACAGGCAGTCCCCACAAATGGGGTGGAGGGGCAGGCTCTGCCCTGGAGACCAGGAGGCACTGTGCTTCACTCCCGGGCCTGCGTCCTGGGCTCGGGAACACCACTGTCCACCCTCTAGGGGCGCCAGAGAGCTGCACTCTTGTCCGAGGTTCTGATTCCCAAAGGCAGAGCTGGACACCCAGTGGGGTCAGCCCTGGGAAGCCCCCATCCCACCCCAAGCCCCCAGGCCCAGGCCTGAGGTTCATTAGGATCGCAGTGCGAGAGTGTGGTGAGAGCTATTGTCAGAGCCTGCGGGGAGGATACCGCAGCTTCTTCATGTGCTGGCGGGGTGGCTTTGTTGTTAGAATGAGTTATAATGAGTAAGTTTGTTACTGTGGCATCTGGTCAGGATGGAGCTGGTCAGGAGTCCTCACCACTGGGGAGAGAGTGAGTTCTGTCCCTTAGCTTTTCACTGAAGTCAGGTGCTCTGCCAATCAAGCCAGGGCTCCGCTTTCAGCATTTTGGTGGTTAAGTGGAAATAAGAGTCTCACGGCCCTTCCTGCCACGCTAGCTTCCAACTCTGATCCTCAGATCTCAGCCTGAGTAGATAGGATTACAGGTGTGAGCCACTGGCAACCAGCTCACTGGTGGTGGTGGTGGTGGTGGTGTGTGTGTGTGTGTGTGTGTGATTGAGAGTCAATAACTCCTTGTTCATTTCCCAAGTCCAACAACTCGGGTTTGCAGTTTCAGTAGGAAAAACCTGTAAATGACATTGAATAGCTCCTTTGCATGGGTCAAACTTCTGTTACTTTTTGAAAAGCCTGCCAGGCACCTGTGGCTCATACTTGCAATCCTAGCTACTCTGGAGACTGAGCTCCGAAGGATTGGCATTTGAAACCAGACGGGGAAGAAAAGTTCAGGAGACCCTCGATTCACGGCGGGGTGGGGGGCGGCATGCTACTCGATGTGGGAGGCTCCGACTGGGGAGCCTCAGCGGTCAGGCAGCCTTGCCAAAGACTCTGGCGATTCCGTCTCAGGAGGAAAGAAGCAGACATGGGGCAAGCCACTGGCTAAAACCAGGAAGCCTAAACTAGGAGCGGCCTCAGCTGCTGGCACAGGCGCCCCCTGTTGGCAGACGCCGCCCTCTGCCCTTCCCCCACAGAGAGGCCTGGCCTGGTCTCAAAGACCCAAGCTCTAGGCTGAGTTTGGTGACTCCTGCTCTCCCAGCTCCATCCAGGCTGTGGCTTCAGGATACAGGCCCAAGAGGTCACCCTGCCTGAGGGCAGGCTGCGGCGGATCTAGGTCACAACCCCGAGGACCAGGACAGGAAACTCAGATGCTCCTAAACGCCCTTGGGAGCCATGATGAGAAGCTGCTGGAGCAGTCCTTCCTCTGGCAGCCCTGGCCGCAGCCGCAGCTCCGTCCCCTGCTCACCGTGTCCTGAGCAGGACATCACAGGCGGGGGAGGGGGGCTGAGGGGGGGGGCTGGCTGGAAGGCAGCAGGAAGTACAGCTTTCTATTTGTCACATCACCGTCACCCCTGAGCGGATACAAAGGTGGGGGGGGAGCACCAGGAGTCATAAGACAGAACCGCGCCGGAGGGGAGTCTGCAGGAAGTCCTCTCAGGCTGGAAGTCACGTCCCTCCAACACCAGGGAAAGAGCCCACTCCCCCTGGATCAGGAGGGGAGGACAGGGCTTGCCACTCCCTGGCCCCACAGACTGGCCTGGGTCCACCCTGCCCTGTCTCCCTTCCTGTCCAGAGGTGTCCCCCTGACCTGCCGCACTTGGCCTCCCCCCACGAGGCTGTGTCTGCCAGAACGCTAGGCCTCCCTCACCACCCCTCACCTCTTTATGTGCATCCTGGAGCAGGTGGCCAGGACGTGTGGAGCCCTTAGGGTTGGGCCTTTAGCCCGGAACCCTTGTCGCAGGCTCAGCACTGCCGGCCTCAACCGGAATGTGGTGAGGGGGTGGGAGGCCTCTGTGTGGCCCGAGCTGGGCCCTGACAGAGCGGTCAAACCCACCGTCAGGCCTGGGACTGGCCTGCCGAGTCCCCCTAGCCGGCCTGGGCACTGTGCTTCTCTTCCTGCCCTCCTGTCACGCGGAGACTGGAGCTGACCTGATGTGGCCACGGTCCTGCCCTTGGTGAGCCCTAAATCAGACCCAAGACCTGAACAGGGGCACAGGGAAGAGGCGCAGGCCCCCAGCCCCGCAGAGAGAACGTGTGGCCACTGCTGTGGGTGTGGCACTGGCCCAGCGTGGGCACCGGGCAGGGTCTGCTCTGGCTGGGTCGCTCGGTGTCCCACCACCTCCAGAGCCCCAGGAGAAGGGCCCTTGCCGAGGGTCAGCAGAGCCAGGGTGCTGTCTTGCCTGAGGAAGGCCAGCCAGGCGGGCAGGAGCCTCCGTGTCTGCGCTCTGAGGCGCATCCCTCCAAGAGGGCCAGGTGCCGTGCCGTGCCTGCGTCCTGCATCCTGCGTGGTTAGACTCAGGTGCGGAGGCGAGGGCGCCGCCCTGCTAGGAGAGCTTCTGCCACAAGGGGGCGCAAAGGGTCGCCTTGCACCCAGACTAGGTCAGGTCCTGCACCCAGACCCGGCCCTGCCCTGCACCAGACCCCGCCCTGCCCTGCACCAGACCCCGCCCTGCACCCAGACCCTGCCCAGCCCTGCACCCACCCAGACCCCGCCCTGCCCTGCACCAGACCCCGCCCTGCCCTGCACCCAGACCCCACCCTGCACCCAGACCCTGCCCAGCCCTGCACCCACCCAGACCCCGCCCTGCCCTGCACCAGACCCCACCCTGCCCTCTTGCACCCAGACCCCGCCCTGCCCTGCACCCAGGCCCCACCCTGCACCCAGACCCCGCCCAGCCCTGTACCCACCCAGACCCCGCCCTGCCCTGCATCCAGACCCTGCCCTGCCCTGCACCCAGACCCCACCCTGCACCCAGACCCCGCCCTGCACCCAGACCCCGCCCCACCCTGCACCCAGACCCCGCCCTGCACCCAGACCCCGCCCCACCCTGCACCCAGACCCCGCCCTGCCCTGCACCCAGACCCCGCCCTGCACCCAGACCCCGCCCTACACCCAGACCCCGCCCTGCACCCAGACCCCGCCCCACCCTGCACCCAGACCCCGCCCTGCCCTGCACCCAGACCCCGCCCTGCACCCAGACCCCGCCCAGCACCCAGACCCCGCCCCACCCTGCACCCAGACCCCGCCCCACCCTGCACCCAGACCCCGCCCTGCCCTGCTCTGCAGAGCCCCCACTCCTACTCAGTAGAGGGCGGGGCCAGGGAGCTGCCCAGCACTCAGACCCCGCCCCGCCCTGCAGAGCTGCCCACCCCGTCAGTGGAAGGAGAGGTTGGGGGCTCCTGAGAGCACCCCAGGATAGCGTGCACTCCCTACCACCTGGGCCCCCACAGCCCTGGAGCATGGGCTCCTCCACCCTCACCCAACGGCCTCCACCCGAGGACCCCGTCCCTCAGCCCCTCCGTCCCTCACGCTGTCCTTCCAGGGGGCAGCGTGCAGCCCCCCGCCTCCGC